TCTATCTATCTATCCATCCATCCATCTTATCTATCTCATCTATCTATCTCACCTATCTATCTATCTTATCTATCTATCCATCCTTCCATCCATCTCTTCTGTCTGTCTATCTATCTATCTATCCATCCATCCATCCATCTATCTTATCTATCTATCTATCTATCTATCTATCTAACAGTGGTTCTGAACCTAGGTGGTGGTGCTGCTGGCATCAGGCAGGTGGAGCCTGGGACATGGCTGCTTAAAACCCTATGTGCCCAGGACTCCCCACCCCAGAGAATCCTCCAGCCCCAAACATTACCCACTCTGAGCCTGAGAGACTCAGCTGGGGGGGTTGTGTATTACACTCCATTTCCTCAGAGCCTCTCCTGGTATCTGGTGCACAATAACCTGTGTGCACTTAAGCTCACAGGTGGATTCATGAATAGGACAGATGCCATGCTCCCTCCATAGTCGTAAAGAACCAGGTGCTCTTTGGTTTCTGATGGGCAGAACTGCATTTCTGCAAATGCAGTCCATCACGTTCTTCTCAAAAATTCATGCTAACTCCACTCTTTCCTTTCTCTCAGGGGCCACGAAAAACAGCAGTGCTGCATATATATTTAAAACTCAGATGTCTGTTTGTCAAAAAAAAAAAAAAAAAAGAAGAAGAAGAAAAGACAAAGACATCTCTGTAGGATTTTCTGCAAGAATGTTGCTTCTCAATCCCAAAATTATCTTGCTGAGTATTGGAATTATCACCACCTGGCACCAAGACTCCAATTCTGCCTCCCTGTCTCTCAAACACACGTCAAAACCAGTGCTTCTGACTTAATCCCTTTGCATGTTAAAATGTGTACAGAATAATGGATATACGGTGAACACAAGTAGCATTTTCAGCAGTTGTGATGTAGACCCAAATTCCCCTGAAGCTCTTTGACCCTTGAAAATATCATTGTCCTGGTGTCCCAGGTTTTTGGAAAATATTACTTTATTATCAAATGTACAGCATATTGACCTTAAAAATACAGTAGAGCAGTCATGGAAATAATAGCCCTTCTGGTGTCTGAGGGCACAGACAGACCCATGGCCAGAGAAAGGGCAGCTGAGGTGGAACAGATGGACAGCTTGGATATTTCAGAGAAGTTTCCGGACTTTTCTGGAAGATTCTG